CGCCTGCACCCGCCCCTGCGCAGGGGCAGGCGGCTGCACCGCTTGGCGGCCATGACCATGGCCGCGGCAGCGGCGGCGGCGGCGGCAGTGGCGGTTTGCTGGCGCTGGGCGCTGTGCTGTCGCTCGCCTTTGCGGCGTTTGTGGCGTGGCACGGGCAGTGGACCGAAGGGTCGATAGACTGGCACCCCCTGTGGGGCAGCGGCAGCCTTGTCTCCTGGAGCAGCGCCGGCGGCGTCGCGCCCGGCGGCGGCGAGCCGTTCTGGCCGCTGCGCCTCGACCTCAACGGCACGGGCCTGCCCCCTTTCCCCCTGAAATGGGGCAGCAGCGCGCTTTCCAAGGCAGAGATCGACGGCTTCTTGTCGGCCGTCAAGGCGCTGCCAATCCCGGCGGGCGAGCTGCGCGCTCTGCTGCCCAGGCTGCGCGCCTGGGCAGAGGCCGACGACGGGGCGCCGACCTACATGCTGCACCTGGTGCAGCTGGAGCCCAAGCTCAGGAAGCTGCCCGGCGCGCCGACGATCGAAGGCGGCCCGGCGGAGGCCGCCCGCGCGTACGAGGCCGGGCTCGTAAAGACGTGGCTCGGGCGCGCGTCGTACCCGCTCTTTGCGGGCGCGGCGGGGCCCAGCTTGCTGAAGCTGGCCCCCAAGCGCGACTGGAGCCGCGTGCTGCTCGTGCGCTACGCGAGCCGCCGCACGTTCCTGCGGCTGCTGACGGACCCGGCCCACGTCGACCTCCTGCCATACAAGCTCGCGTCCTTTGACCTGGACCTACTGCCGGCCACCGCCGGCGCCGTGCTGCCCGAGGCACCCTGGGTCGTGGGCGCCGGCCTGCTGGCGCTCTTCCTTTCCGCCGGCTGGCTGCGCGCGTCGGCGCGCGCCGCGCGGCTCGCGGCGCGGCTCGCTGCTTCAGAAGCGCGCTCTGGGTCGCGGTTACTTTTGACGTGAGCCCTGGGCGTGCGACTGGCACCCGATGCCATTGCCGGGGCCGACATTTGATGTCTTCATTTTTGCACGTTTGTCCAAGGCACTGACGGCTCCCATTGGAAGCGGTGCATTTTGTCCTCATGACCCCCACACGTGAGTGCGGCCGCCATCCCCACTGATGGCCTGATAAATGCACGCATTCTGATTGATGGCAGCTCTCACTGCTGTCTGCATGCACATGACACGTTCCATTCACAATTGCAACGCCTTGCAGCGGCACACCAAGGCGCATTTTTGCACTATGGCACACGTATTGCTGAATTCTGTTGTGTGCACACCTTGTGCACATCGTGTAAGTTTGTTGAATAGCGGCTGCAAGGGGCGTCTTGGAGTGCTGGCATTGCACCAATCGGGGGGGGGGGGGGGGGGGATTCCTCATAACGCCAGGCGCGGGAGCGGGTCAGGCCGGGCCGTGAGTCCAGGCTTTCAACCAGACATGCATGTGTATGTGATTCTGACCATGCGTCTGACGTTGTACGCCTTGTCCCAAAGACGCGCCACGATATGAGGCAAGTCACCAGGCGGGGCATGCGGGGTGACGCGGCGTAACCAGGCGAAGCAACAACTGGTATCACGGCCAGCAGGCCGACCGTGCATTGATGACATTCCTTGATTTCCTCGGCGTGCATGGCGTCTCAAAGAGTTTAGCGCGTCTCGGATTGCAGTGATCAGTACGCGCGGCTTGGAGCTGTGATCTAGCTTTGAGGAACCAATGAGAGCCTCATGTATTTTTTCCGCGCCACAACGCCTCTCGCACAACGCACAGCTCCTGCATAGATCGACGACGCTTGGAGCTGGCTGCAGCAGAGTCCCGTCGCAGTCTAAACAGCAACAGAGAATGGCGTCCAGCACAGAAACAGCATCGGGACAAGGCGAGTGTGCAGCACTGGGCACTGGTCAACGATGCACGCATCACACGTGACTGCAGCTGCCGATGCAACTGCCCCCATCACGCGTGGCTGTGCAGGTGCCGTGACTGCCAAAAAGATGGTGCTGGTCGTGGCCGCCGCACTGATCGACGGGCCCCACGTGCTCCTCGCCCAGCGGCCGCCTGGCGGCCCGATGGCAGGACTGTGGGAGTTTCCTGGGGGCAAGGTGAGGCTCCCGCCCTCAGTTCAAACCTCCATCCAGCAGGGGCCAGCAGCTTCCAAGCAGCTTGCGTGGCGGCACCCTCCCCCCCTTTCCTGACGCTCCTGCTGGGATGCGCGCGTCCACCATATGCACCAGACACGAGTGCGACCACCAGCCACGGCGCCACGCACACCCAGGCGCCCATCCTCAGCGTGCGAATCCCCTTGGCCACCGCCCCACGGCGCCCGTCCGCACTCACGGCGGCGGGCGGGACGCGGGCGGGAAGCGGGCCCTTGCGAGCCCTTATTACATCCACACCTCTCGCCCGCAGGTCGACCCCGGGGAGGTGCCAGAGGCGGCGCTGGTGCGGGAGCTGCGGGAAGAGCTGGGGATTGAGGTGCGGGCTGCTGTTGATGGTTGCGAGGCTGTGGGCCCATGTGATGTGAGGGGGTCACGTGTGCTGGGAGGGGCCGGTGACGCGCGCGTGGTGTAGGGTCGGCGCGGGGCACGCCGTGCGGGACAACCAACAGGCTTGGGCCCGCAGCGCGTCGCCGTTAGGCCGACCTCGCGTGGAGAGCGCCCTGAGCCGCAGCCCTACAGCCTGTGCCGGCCCGGCGGGTGACCGGCTCTGAAGGCGCATACATACGGCTGGTCTCTGCCACCCCCTGGCTGCGCTGGCACGGCCGACCGGCGCGAGCCGCCCGCCCGGCCTCAAACCCCAGGTCAAGCCGGAGGACCTGCGGCCGCTGACGTTTGCCAGCCACTCCTATGACTCGTTCCACCTGCTGATGCCACTGTATGGTGGGCGCGAAGCCCCTTCTTTTGCCCCCGATGCATGTCGCACGATGCATGCATGCGCGTGATGCCCTGGACGGCTCCCAGGCACCCGTCGGCAAAAGCAACCCTGCCGTTGCAGCGCCGACACGCCCGCCCGCGCCCCCTAACCACCTCGCATGGCCGTCCACGCTCCCTCTCGCTGATAGTCCGCATCTTTTGCACCCGCGCGGTGCAGCGTGCCGCAAGTGGTCTGGCGAGCCGCGCGGCTTGGAGGGGCAGCAGCTGGCATGGGCAGAGGGGCCCGAGCTGACGGGCTACGACATGCCGGCCGCGGACATCCCGTTGGTGGAGCCGGTCACGCAGGCGCTCCAGCGCCATTTGTAACACAGGCGCAAAGCACGTGTTTGGGCATCATTGTGTATGGCGGCGCTGCCGCACACGAGCAGGGTCGGCAGCTTGCGGCGCGATGGCGAACTCGCACATTTGCTGCCTACTAAGAAGCAAGGAACCGCACCAAATAGTAAGGAATGCAGGAAAGCATTGCGGATGTCGACGGCACACCGACTCTGGACAGTCACCACTCATCACCATAATTGGACCTGCCACCTATCCACCAAAAGGTCCGGGACGTCAGCAAACCTACAGGTTCTCGATAGCAATTATATGAAAACACCTCCGCGCATGCAAGCGGGGAAGAGAGCTGGAAAAGCAAATGTGAGAACGCGCGTTAAGGGCGCCGCCGACGAGCTGCAGCGCACACCCGACGGCAAGGGGCTCAGCAGCCTGCGCCGTCTCGACCGGAGGCGGCCCCTCACATGTGCCCCGCCGCCGCGTCCCACCGCCACAGCACGAGCTGCGACTCGCACAGCGCCCCGATGAGGGGGCTGCCGCCGCCGCCCGCGCCCGGCGCGGCGGAAACCTGCAGCACGGGGCCGGCCAGCGCGTCCCATGCCTCCGCGCCGCCGCCGCCGCCGCCGCCCAGCATGGCGCCGCTGCCGCAGTCCCAGGCCGCGACCGTGTTGCGGCGCTCGTCGCCCGAATAGAAGGCGAGCGCCGGGCTCGAACCGTGGGCGGACGGCAGCCGCACAAAGTCACCCACAGTGACGACGCCGCAGCTGGTGTGGCCGGCCAGCCGTGCCATGCCGCGCAGTGCCCGTGCTGCCCCGTCAGCTTCTGCCCCTGCCGCCGCTGCTGCCACCGCCGCTCCGGCGCCGCCTGCCGCTGGGTCTGCGCCCTGCGACCGTTCGAGGCTGTACAAAAGGTGTGCCGCCGCCGGCTGCTCCTGCTGCTGCGGCCCACCGGCGGCAGCCAGCGGCGCGCGGAAGGAAACACAGACCAACGGCCCGGCCGCGCCGCCGCCAACGACCTCAGAGGGCGCGTCTGTGAGAGCCACGCTCTCGCAGTTGCCGCCGTGGACGCTGCGGGCGTCAAGAAGCTGCGTGAAGCCGCCGCCGCCGCCGCCGCCGCCGCCGGCCCCACTGCCGGCGTCGCTCCAGGCATACACGCCGCCTGCGCCGCGCATGCATGCAGGGTGGGGCGCTCGTGTCTGGCTCGTACATAGGGGTTCGGCTGGCTTTGAAATTGGGGAAGCAAGGTGGCTTGCAACATCCAAATCAGACTCATGCGCAACGAATGGCGAGTTCTAGCAAAACATGGGCACGAGATGGCCTGCCACCTGTCTCGTGGCCCCCAAAGGCCCGGCGCATCCCCGGTGTCCGCCGCTCACCCGGAGCCGCCACCAGGCACGCCGCCCCCGCGCCCCCCGCCACGCCCGCCCCGAGCGCCGCCAGGCGCCGCAGCGGCTGCTGCACGCCCGGCGCCGCCGCCTCCAGCAGCAGGCCCTTGCCGGCGCCGCCTGTCATCCGCAGGTCGACGAGCCCCAGCCGCCCCCTGTCGAGCCCTATCATGACCTGCTGGTCGCACGCGGCGCTCCAGGCCGCGCTCCAGACGCAGCTGCCGGGCAGCTGCAGGCGGTGGACGACGCAGTTGCTGTCGGTGGACGCGATGAGCAGGCCTTGGGGAGTTGGGGAATACAGGGGCAGTGGGGGCCATGGTGGGTGCAGGGTCAACGGGAGGGGCCATGCGGGCTACAGAGGCGACAAGGGCATGACCAAGCAAAACTCGAGGCGCAGGAGCAGCGCTGCCGAGAGCGCTGCAGCCAGGCAACCGATTGCTCGGTCCTGTGCAAGGGCGAGGCGGTGCCTGGCGAGTCGCCGAGCCCCGGACAGCACTGACGGCATCGCGCCTCGCTCACCCGCGCCCTGCGTGCCGACCGCCACCAGCTTGCCGCCCCCCTCCAGCGGCTGCGGCGCCACCGCGCACACGCGTGCCACGCGCGCGGCGCCGTCCGACAGCCGGATGTGCGAGGCGCTGCCAGGCATGTAGATCGACACCTTCCGCAGACGCTGCTCCGCGGGGGCGCCCGCGCCCCCGCCCGCGCCGCCGGCCGGGGTGGACTCAGCCAGCAGCAGCATGGACCCCTGCAGGCTAAACGCGCGGCTGCCGCGGCACGCATAGGTCTGCGCAACGGACAGCGCCCCCGGCGCGACAGGCGGTGGACGGTGCGCGGCGCCGGCGGCGTCGCCCCAGGCGGGGAGCGTGGCGAGCCGCAAGGGCGGGCCCATGGCAGGGACGGCCGGGCGCGGCGCCATTGCACTGGCCGGCGCATCCAGTGTGTTTCTGCTGGGCCTGCTCTGCTCTAAAAGCTCCGCTTCCAGATTGGTGGCGGGGCGTTTGGAACCCGCCAGCCGCTGCTGCTGCTGCTGCTGCTGCTGCTGCTGCTGCTGCTGCTGAATGTGGGCTAGGTGGATTCTGCCGCCGCCTGCTGCCGACCCCGCCCCACCGCCACCAAGCTGGCGCTGCTGCTGATGCGTGTACTGGTGCTGCTGCTGCTGATAACTTTGCTGGTAGAGCTGCTGCTGATTGTGAAAATCCATTCCCGCCTGCTGCTGTACATGCCACCCTTGCCGCTGCTGCACCGCCAGCCGCGCCGTCGGCGCCGGCCCGCCCCCCGCGCCGCGCCCCGCGCCCGTGCCCCCGATGGTCGCCAGCTGCGCCTGCAGGCGCTCGCGCTCCTCGCGCTCCTGCTGCCGCTGCCGACGCTCCTGGTCCAGCTGGCGCCGCAACTCGGCCAGTGCTGCGGCGTCCTCTGGGCGCGGCGCGGGCGCGGGGGCTATGGCGACGGGCAGGTTGTAGAGCAGCCTGATGTCTTTGACCTTGGCTCTGGAGAGATGGTGGGGGACGAGTCCGGTTGCGGGGCCGCAGTTTGAAGGCATGAATGTCATTTGTGCATTGGTTTGCATAAGCGCAATTCTTGAGCGCATGCACAGTGAAAGCGGGACGGGCAGGTCGAGGGAAACGAGGAGGGGGCCGTGACGTGGGGGAGGGGTCGCGAGCACCCACTTGCTGTTGCACTGGGGGCACCGCGGCCGGGGCGCCTCCGCCAGCCAGCGCCTGACGCAGCCCTCCCCAAACAGGTGGCCGCAGCGCAGCGCCGCGGGGCGGTGCGGGCCCGCGTCTGCCATGGGCTCCATGCAGATGGGGCAACCAGCGCCATCAAGCTCCCCGTCGCTGTCGCCGGCAGCGGCGGCGGCAGGGGCTGGGGCGGAGACTGGGGCGGGCGCTGGGGCGGGCTGGGGTGCGGGCGCGGGCGGTGCTGCTGACGCTGGTGCTGCTGTTGCTGGTGGTGCTGCTGCTTCTGCGCCCGCTGTGGTTGGGTGGTCGCAGGAATGTTGGCGGTGTGCGAGCCGAACTTGGATAGCAGACCACACAACAGCTCGCATGAGGTAGGCAGCGCGCATGCTGAAGGGGTTTCTATGTCAGTAATCACCATATTTAAGCTGTCAAGTCTCCAGGCAACATGTCCAGCCACGACCACAGCGCCGCGCACCTGGATGGGGGTTGACCCGAGTCGCCGGCAAGACGTCCCCCTCCGGCCCCTCTACACGCCGAAGCCGCTGAATGGTGCGCCGTCCTGAGGGTTGCGGCTGCGCGGCGTCATCCAACACCACCACGACCTCATCATCTGAGTCCAGCAGGTCGACCAGGTCGGCGGGCACGGATGCGTGCGCGCCACCGTTGCGCGCGCTGCGCCGAGCCCGTGTGCGCGGGTGCGACATGGACGCGACCCGCTAAACGCAGGTGCTGCTGTGATAAATCCCACACTGCCCTATCCTACGGGTGCACCGGCCACGCATCATGTGCAGTGATGAAACCTGACCAAAAGCATCTGAAGGTTTGATCTGTTGTTGAGATCGCAGCTACCTATCACGTGACAAATGAATCATGTCGAACACACTTATGTCAGATAACATCATACCCGCTTCCTGCCAGCAATCCAAGCTGATCTTCTGTCAGTGGGTTACGACGGACACTGGTCGTGCACCATGCCCGCTTGCCAGGTGATGCGAGCGGCGTTATGTCGCAAACCATGCCGTAAATCATGCTCCCAAGACACGCACGGCTTACCTGTCGCGCATGGCACACCCCGCCACGACACGACACTGCAGGCTGTTGGCGCCACATCGGCGTCAACGCTCCGGGCGTCAGCCATGCGAGCATCACGCAGCACAATGAACGGCTTGGCACGTCCCCTGCTGCCCCGTGGGGCCCCTGCCCTGGCACGACGCCTCGCGACGGGCCCGCCTCGGCACCCTGCCCTAGTTCCTGCGAACGAGCCGCTGGCGCCAGCCACCCCCGCACGCCCCCGGGCGCCGCCGCCGCCGCGCGCTGCCTCGGGCGCCGCGGCGGGCGGGCCCGAGCCCGACCCCCTAGCCAGCGCTGAGCTGTCACACCCGCCGGGTTTCGTGGCGCGCCGGCTTGTGGTGTTTGCCGGCATCCTTGTGGCATACACCTGCCTGTGAGTCCTGGGGACCGCATCCCCGCACCCTCCCATGGAGCCACCAGACCCAGGGGCTGATTCAGGATGCTCTCACTGCTGCCTCTGCGCTCGTGTTTGCACCATGCGTTCAGCGCATGCCGCAAACCTTGGCCTCTACGCTTGATCGACAGCACCAGCAATGGAGCGCTCCACCTCGGTTCGCTGAAAAGACATCAAAAGCTGGAAGAGTCCTGTTTGTGGTTTTACCAGCACAGGGCTGCTGCCCACTTTGTCCCCCAGTGAAGTGCACGGTCCGCTGAACCGCCTACCCTGCCTTCCTATGCGACCACACAACGGCCCCTCCCCTTCCCTGCCTCGCCCCACTCCGCCCCCGCCGCGCCCACCCACCTCACCACCTTCCGGGCAGCTACCTCAACCGTGGCACCCTGACCTACTCGGCGCCCACCATGGTGGCTGACCCCCTGCTTGGGTTGACCAAGACCGACATCGGGGCGATGACGTCAGCGTTCCCGGCCGCCTATGGTGGGCAACAGCATGCCTTCATCCCCTGAACAGCTCTGGGCACTGCGTCGCATGCCCGGTCCCCACCCCGCTTCTGAATGGCGTTTGCTGAGCTGGCGAGGTGACGAACGCGCGGCGTGGGCACTCACAGGCGCGCCAGCAAGAAACCAGCCACTGTGTCTGCTGGTTGATCGGCGCGTCGGGCGACGGGTGCGCCGCCAGGCCCGCACCATGCCTTGATGAATGGCACCCTGTCGGCCTCACCCCAGCGCTCCATTCACACGAGTTCCAATCCGCCCCCTGACGCCACATCAACCAACAGGCATCAGCAAGTTTGCCGGCGGCATGCTGGGCGCGGCCTTCTCCCCTACCAAGATGCTCGCCTATGGCCTCATGGCCACATCAGTCGTCAACATCGCCTTCGGTGGGCAGCGCAGGGGGTGGGCGGCTCAGGGGGGGCCGGCGCCCAAAGCTGGCGCTTGCAGCCATCCCCACGCTCTGCGTGGCCTGGCTGACCATCTCGCAACACCACGTGGAGCCAAAATCACATCCCTTGCCTCAATCCCACGACTCAATACGCATGTATTCCCGCTAGCGCCATCCTGTGCACACGCGTGCCGGCGCCTCAGCCACGCACTTACAGGCAGCTGCCGCCCAATCCAACGGCTCACGCCCTCGCGCCCGCCTGTCCTCGGCTCCCCACCCCACGGCCGCCCCAGGTTTTGGCAGCAGCGTGGTCTACTGGTCGGCCCTGTGGGCCATCAACGGCGCGCTGCAGGGCATCGGCGCCCCCGCCTGCGCCATGCTACTCACGCGCTGGTTCGCGGCCAAGGAGCGCGGCAGTGAGTAGGGTCGGGGCGGCATGGAGCATGAACGGGCCGCGCCACGGCCTTCCGCATGTGTCGCCAGCTTGCATGTCTGCTGGAAGCGCGAGACCGCCCTGGCCGCGGGCGCGGCGCCGCCTGGCTGCCACGGGCTGTCGGACGGCCCCGCCCCACACACGCCAGCCGCATGAGTAGACCTGGCGTCCGAAAATCCGGGCCTGTGCCTCCCATGAGTGATGGTGGCAAATGCAGGTCATCTGCCTTGTTGGCATCCTTCGCCCCTGCTTACCCCCTCTCTTCTCTCCTCACCTCTCCTCCCCACCTCTCACCTCACAGCGCCTGCCCCCTTCCCTTCCTGTTCCTCTCCCCCCTCCTGCCCTCCCTATTCCTCTCGCCAATCCCCTCCCTTCTCCCCCCCCCCACACCCCCGTGCAG